TTAAAAGTCTATCTAATAAATTTTTAAGTAATTAATTTTTTTTGATTACAGCTTTCAAAGCTTACAAATTACATTTCAAAATTTTTCATTTTTTCGCCTAAGCGGCATTTTGACTTGCCGCTGGAATTATACAGACTTTACTGTTATATATAATTATAAAGACTATATTGGGTTTGAAATCATTTTCGGCTTGTTTTCTCTGCAGCTATTATATTTCGTTGCAAAATCTAACATTAATATTATATATATATATATATATATATATATATATATATATATATATATATATATATATATATATATATATATATATATATATATATATATATATATATATATATATATATATATATATATATATATATATATAAAGGTAAACGAAAAAAATGTTTACCTTATAAATCAAGAAAAGGAATTGAAAGACCAGCAAAGCAACCAAAAGTGGCATGTAATAATTCACGTCGCTTTAAATGCTCACAGGTATTTACTGAAGAAGAAAGTATTGAAATATGTAGAACTTTCTGGTCATTGGATTATGATAAGCAAAAGGATTTTTAACATTGGTAATATAGAGCAAAATTTACCTATAAGAAAGAAGTTGCAAATAACAAAAGGAAATCGGCAATATCAACACAAAGGTGCAAATTTGTCAAATTTTCTTTAAAAATACACCAAGTATTTCTGATGGACCTATCATCCACACTTTTAAAACACGGAGCAATATGGGAGTATTTGAAGGACCAGATAAACAAGGTAAAAACTCTCCGTCAAATAAAACCTCAGCAGATTCTCTAAATTTTATTAAATCGCACATAGAAAAGTTTCCTGTAATGGAATCACACTATTGTCGTCGATCAAGCAAAAGGCTGTACCTTGATTCTAAGCTTTCAATTGCAAAGATGTACGCGCTTTACTTGACGGATTGTGCAAGCCAGAATAAATCTCCAGTATCAACAATATCGCACAGACAAATATTTTCATCGAACTACAATTATTCGTTTTTAAACCCAAGAAGGATCAATGTGTGACATGTAACAATCATGACAGTGCCTCTAGTGAAGATAAACTAATATTGTTAACAGAACACCAGCTTCACCGAAAAAGAATAGAAGATGCTCGGTTAGCCAAAGCTACAGACAAAGCGCGATCAAACATTGATCCGCCTTTTTTATCTGTAACCTTCAATCTCCAAAATGTGCTACAAATACCGTTTAGTGACACTTCTCAATTGTACTACCCTCGCAATTGTACTACTCTCGCTGTGTCTACAATTTGACGATTTACGAATCACGCTTGCCCAACGACAGATATTGCAATGTTTGGACAGAAATAAATGGGAAAAAGGGTAGTTCGGAAATAGGAATTGCCTTGTGGTTCTGGCTAAAACAAATTCCTGAAACTGTTAAAGAATTGTCTTTATTTTTAGATTGCTGTGGAGGTCAGAATCGAAATCAACACATAGCTGCATTTTTTATGTAAGTGGAACACAAATTCTAAGAAACTGGACATACTTATATGGAAGTTAATTCCATGCACAGTGCAATCGAAGCTCAAAAGAAAAATGTACCAATTTTTTCAATAATTTATTGGATGATAGTTTTCAGATTGGCACGGTCTTCAAGGAAATGAAAGAATGCAAAACCAATCAATGTACATCAACTGACATTTCTGATATGTTAGATTGGTCTAATTTATCAAAAAAAAAAATTATAAAAAGCCATAACAAAGATGAGAATAGTGCTACCGTTAAATGGCTGAAAATAAAATGTCTAAAGTATGAGAAATCTAAGCCAAATTGTTTCCAGTATCGTTATGACTTTACCACGCCGTATATAAATGTATTTACAAAGGGCAGAGGCCGGCAATTCAGCATGCCTACAGAAATAAATAAGGCATATTCAACTCTACTGCCCATATCACAGACAAAAAAGAATGACCTAGAAAGATTGTGTACTTTGGAATAATTCCTATTGAAGTACAAGAATGGTACCATAATCTGCCCGTCAGCCAGAGATGTGCCACCAGAGTCTGGTGAAGATGTCTCTGAAAACGACGAATGAATGTCACCTACTATGTAGCATTAATTTTTTAGTTTACGATTGAAAAAATATGTCTCAAATATTAAAATTCTTATTATTAGTATGTTTTTTTATCAACAATTGATTAAAAGTAGTTTTGTCTGCCACAAAATAATAGGTTTGCCTATATTTTAATCACTATATCATAAGAAATCATTCACTTAAGTTTCTTATAAGCCTCAACTCTTGACAAGCAGAAGTCAGTAAGTGCAACCAATTTTTAATTTTTCTCAAAATTTATAAAAACCTAATTATTTTGTGAAAAAAATTATTTTGCATTTGCGATGCGTAATATGTGGACGATCCCATATCTTAATATATCGCTGTAAACTAAGGGAGGTTGATTTTTGAAATTGACCTACCTGTTCCCTCAAATAGCTAGAGTTTTTTAAACTAATAAAGAACTAATTAAAGTTTTTTAACAAATTTTTTTCAGTTTTCAGAAGGCGTAAACCACGAGTTTACAGTGTAAACGCCTTCGACCATATAAGTTTATATGTCGAAGTTTACATGGACGAAGGTTTACGCAATCGAGCTGATTTTACTAATGTAACCTGTCCCTTAGTATCTTTAATAACAACATTAGCGGGAAAATGTTAAAAGGAAATAAAATAATTATAAAAAAAAATTATCGAAAAAAAGAAATATCAATACTTAACTAAATAATACAAAGTACTCTTTAATAATATTACTTTTTTCATCAAAGTAAAAATGTAAGGTTTATTTTTTTTTTCCTATAATTATTGACTTTTAACAAAAACTATTTTTGAAGCTCTTGTTTTTTTTCAACGAATTTCATAGATATTTTCGGACAGAATCTCGTAAAGGTACTTATTTTTGTTCATTGTTATATATACTTTCCTTTTATATTGTAGAATAATAAATATTTAATTGAATGTGAATTCGTTGACTAATTCTAAAAAGATATTCATGTTTAAAAGTATATGGGTTCAAATATTTCTTTATTTGAAATAAAAAAACATAAAGAAGAATCAGTAGAGAAAGGAAGTATGTCAACTCAAAAAGATGCTTCAAAGATAAAAAAGTGTACATCAAATGAAAATCTTGTTTATACACCTGAAAGTTATCCTATATTACCAAAACGTTCTAGAAAGTCATTGAGTTTTCCTGAGGAAATTAGTCAACCAGAATTAAAGAAAGAAAAATTTAGTTGTCGAATAACTCCAGATAAAGGTTCTCTTTTAGCAGCATTTTTTAAAGTTTTTGGTAAGTTTATAGTTTTTAGTTTAGTTTTCTAGCTAGCTTATGGTTTTTTAGTTTTATTAGCTTTCTTATATAGTATTCCTAATAATAATTTACATATCTGGTATATAGTTGTTAAGGGAAATCTAGTATCACTGGCATTGTAAATTTGCAATAAATTTCAGACAAAAAGTTTAATGCAAAGCTTTATGTATTTTTTAATTACTAGACTTTTATGTATGGAGTTTAAAAAGCAAATTTTTAAAGTTTTGTTATAAAATTTGAATTGAAATTAGTCAGCTTTTATCAAAATAACCATGTTGCAAAAGATCAAAATGCAAGTGAGTTACTTTTTTATTTTTTTTAATAATAAACTCAACCCCAACAAGATTACAAGTTACCTCTATATAATTATAGAGGTAGAGAATGAAATCAGGAGTAAGAAAATGGTGAGCATGTTAAAAAGATGCAATCTTAGGCGATACTAGCTTTGCAATGGATTGTATATATATTTCTTATAAGAGGTCAGTAGCGAATAATCATCCAAGAGGATGTAAAGTGAAGAACTCAATAAATGTTACTAGAGCATATAGTTGTCTCATTAACAAATAGAGCCACTAAAACTATCAGGAAGATTTTTGATGTAGACAAGATACAACATAGAATAAAAGATGGAATTTTCTGGTACCCTAGAAGTTACTGAAATTAAAAAAATTACTGTCTTTCAAGGGTAACTCTAATAATGTGGTTAAAAATGATTGAATATATATTTTTTAATTTTCCTACATATGAAACAAACTTCAGAAGAAGATCAGCATGCAAGAATTTATCAAGAGCATTTGATATGTCAAGAGCAATAACCCTTGCCTTGCCTCAAATTTAAAAAATACTAATTTAATTTTGTATCATTTTTGTCATTAGAAAAAAACAAAATAAAAAACATTGTTTCATACTAATAAACTAAAAAATGCAATCTGAAACTATATTTCAGCATTGAATTGCAACACATTTTGGTGTGCTACTAGTTAAAGCTTTTTGATGCAGTATGTAACTTTACTGATATGTATGTTAGTAGGGATACTTTTTACATAATAGGATTTTTACAAAATGATACCTAAAACACTAACAAATTAAAGCTTCTCTATGAAAATTTAATTTCAAAATGTTGTAACACTTTTTAAAAGTGTTTTGATGCCCAGTACAAAAAGAAGTATATATTGAGATTTATTTATATGCAAACTTTAAAATGTAAAATAGGTCTACTGAAAAAAATTAGATTCATCAATTGTCTCTCTAATACGTGATCAAAATTTGCATTTAAAAATGGTGCCTTTTTAGAAAAATTTAATTTTTGTAACAAAAGCAATTAAAATATTTTTTAAAACATTTATTTGAATAAAACATCAAATAGTGTCATTTATTGAATAGTTTAGGACATTTATAGTCATGGGCCAAAGGAGATACCTTCCACTCCCACGGGAGGTCCCTCGCCCCCTCCCCAATCTCCCTAGATTTTTTTTTTTTTTTTTTTTTTGCATAAAATGAATAAATAATACAAAAACATACAATTTAATTTTCATTTTGAAAAAAAAAAAAATTCATTATTTCAAATTGGTGACTTAAAACCTCCTTTTATATAAAAAACAAACATAAGTTTTGTTTTGTTCTTATTAAAGGTATTTACTTGTTTGTATTTTCTTAAAGAATTACTTTTAATTTTATAGTTTTTATATTATTTTGTTAGGTAATAAATAATAAAAATAATTAATATGGAGAAATGTGACATTGGAAAAAGTCTTAACATTCATTGCCACAAAACTGGATTTTCAAGAAAACAAGGTTTTGTTCAATTTAAAGATCTTCCTTGTGAAAAACGAGAAGAAATAATATGGCGAGCAAATTTAAAAGAAAAAAAATATAGTTCAATAAGAATTATATGTTGTTATCATGAGCACTTCTATGGAAAATATTTTGAGAGAAAAATTACAAAGTGTTGCAATCTTTTTGGAACACACAAGGAAAGTAAAAAAATTGCTATAAAAGGTAATCTATCCTTATTTACAACAGAATTGATATGGAAATTAAAAGAAAACAATTTATTATTTATAAAAAGTTTTATAATTTCAGTTATTTTAACAACGTAAAACTAAATTTGTTTTTTAGGTAATATAAAGATTTCCATAGACATGGCAAACTATTTGCAAAAAAATAATGTTTATGTAACCCCAGGTTGGAAATTCTGCAGTAAATGTTACAAAAAAGCAATAGAAACTGGTGAAGATTTAAATTCACAGGAGGAATGGGAATCAAAAAGTGAGAAAAAAATTAAGTTAGATACCACTATAGAATTGCTTGGAATCTCACAGGTCAAACTAAAAAGTCTTTCAAAACACAGCAAATTGCCTGTAGCAAATCAAAAGTTTGAGAACACTATTGACAGAGTTGCAAAAATGGTCTCATTAGCATATAATATTAAAGAAACTTTTTTAACAACAGAAATAAAAAGCCCCATTTTAAACAACAACATTAACAATGACCATGATCTAGACATTTTAATGTATGAAATAAAAAATAAAATTTCAGAGACTGACTCTTATCGCCATAAGGTGCAAATGTTAACACTCGCACCAAAATCATGGACACGTAAAAAGATATCAAGCTACTTTGAAGTGTCTGAGTATCTTGTTCGAACAGCAAGAAAAGTTAAAAATGAGAATGGAATTCTATTATTACCCGGGAAAAAAACTGGAAACCCACTTTCACCAGAAACAGTTAATTTAGTGATTAACTTTTATCAAAGTGATGAATTTTCAAGAATGATGCCAGGAAAAAAAGATTATGTAAGTATTAAGAAAAACCAACATGTTCAAAAAAGATTATTGCTACTCAATCTTAATGAATTACATGTTGCATTTAAAAAAGACTACCCTAACGTCAAAGTCAGTTAGTCAAAGTTTTGTACTCTTAAACCTAAATGGTGTATTACATCTAATGCGTCAGGTACCCACAATGTATGTGTTTGCATACATCACCAAAATACAAAATTTCTCATTGATGCCATTAGGTGGAATTAAAGTTATAAAGATTTCATGGCATTGATTGTTTGCTTTCTTGAAAATGCAGAATGTATGTTGCATCGATGTAACCAATGTCCTGGTATTGAAGCGTTAAAAAGTTTTTTAGTGCAGGAGTTTATGGACCATGAGCATGAAGAAGATGTAGTATTTAAGCAATGGCAGAGTACAGATCGTACAACACTACTTTCACAGTCATTGCCAATAGATGAATTTATTGATTTATTATGTGACAGTATTGACAACCTTACCACTCATTCATATATTGCAAAAACACAAAGTAGATACCTAAAAAACTGTAAAGAAAATCTTAACCAAAACGAATGCTTAATTTTAGGAGATTTTACTGAAAACTATCAATATGTTGTTCAGGATGAGGTTCAAAGTTATCACTGGAGCAAAAGTCAATGCTCACTTTATACAGTTGTACTTTATTTTATAGAGAACAAACTTCTCAAACATAAATCTTTTTGTTACCTTTCAGAAGATGTTGATCATGACACAGGATTTATTTACAAGACTCAGGAAGATATAACTAGATATCTAAAAATCTACCTGATGTATCAAGTGTGAAATACTTTTCTGATGGTTGTGCAGCACAATTTAAAAATTTTAAAAATTTTATCAATCTTTGTAATCACAGTAAAGACTTTGATTTAAATGCTGAATGGATATTTTTTGCTACCAGTCATGGTAAATCCTCCTGTGATGGTATTAGTGGGACTGTTAAAAGAGTAGTATGTCAAGAAAGTCTAAAACAAATAACTACTGGGCAGATTTTAGATGTTAATTTAATGTACTCCTTTTGTAAAGCCAAGATAAATGGAATTTATTTTAAGTTATTTTCAAAAGAAGAAATTGATCAAACACGAGCACAATTAGAAAAAAGATATTTAGGTGGAAGAACAGTTCCTGGCACAAGGATGTATCATCATTTTATTCCAATTGCTCCAAACACTATAAGTTATAAAAAAATATGTATTGATGCATGCACTGAAATATTTGATATCATTCCAAAAAGCAAACATTATGTAGATATTTCATTAAATATTAAAAAAATGGATTATATTGCATGTTTTTATGATGGATTTTGGTGGGTAGGGATTGCTGAAGATGTAAGTGAGCTTGATATAAAAGTCAGATTCATGCATCCACATGAACCAGGTAAAAACTTCTTTTGGCCAATAAGAACTGATGAGTGTTGGGTGCTCAATTCTGAAGTTATATGCCTAACTTCTACACCCACAACAATATCAGGTCATACATACAACATAACTGATTTAGATTTGGAGAATATAAACTTTTGGTTACAAAAAAAAATTAATTATGCTTAAAATAATTTTTTATTTTATTTTATTTACCTAATTTGCATTTTAAATGTTTTTTATTTTTTTCAAATCCTTGGATTGTAGGCTGAGAAGGAGGGGTGGGGGTTTAAATAAATCACAAATCACTCCCATCTTATTATGTCAATGACTATATTAGTCTAAAACTACATAAAGATATTTATTGTCAATATGTTTTAAAAACATTTTAAAACATTTGTTTTTGAAATTTATGACTTAAAATCGTAAAAAGATCTTTGAAATAAGAGGTAGGTATTTATCGATTTGAAGTAACGCAAATAAATCGTTTCTCAAACTTAAACTGAAAAAATATGTTTTTAAAATGTATTTTAACAATCAACTATTATTTATTAATTTTATGTAAAAAAAAAAAAAAAAAAATCTAGGGAGATTTGGGGATGGGGCAGAGGGGCCTCCCATGGGTAGGGAGGGCATCTCCCTTGGCCCATGACTTTAAATGTTTATTTAAATTTAAACTAGTCAATAAATAACACTATTTGGTGTTTTATTCAAATAAATGTTTAAAAAAATATTTTAATTGCTTTTGTTACAAAAGTTAAATTTTTCTAAAAAGACACCATTTTTAAATGCAAATTTTGATCATGTATTAGAGAGACAATTGATGAATCTAATTTTTTTCAGTAGACCTAAGATGAAATAATGATATACAATTAAAATTTTTACTCTGGATTTTGGGCCACAGTCTTTATTTTACCTCCAAAAATCACTAACTTACAAGTCAATAATTTTGAACAAAATTGGATAAATGAGGCATTTCTTGAGATAATCGAGTCTTAAGAAATCTATTTTTAGATTCCTCAAGTTAAAATCTATTAGAGTACCTATTAAAAACTATTAGAGTACTTGGGGAAATTTTAGGAAATTTCCCCAAGCCATTATGAAGATACTGTATGTCAAAGTTGCTTTGTAGTCGCTTCAGAAAATCACTAAAATGCTGAGTCAGCATTATTTCAAGTGACAATATCTATGGAACCCATTGGTATTTTTAACTAAAATTTTTGCAGTTATTATTTTTTTGATATGGACTGCAAGTGGTGTAAAAATAAACAAATTCTGAGACGTAAGGGTGTCGAAAATTATTATTTTTTGGATGATTTCATATATTTTTACCCTTATATTACAATCACTAATTACACTAAAACATCTAATTACATTACAATCCACATAACTTGCTGTGATCCATTTCATTCATTTGTTTATAGTAGGGCTAACAAGAATTGCATGATACATTGTTGCCCTTTGTGTCCAGAAGATTTTATATTAAGACATTACCTTGAAAATGAGTTCTACTCTCAAGAAGATATTGGTGAATATAATGGTTGTTGTTGATTTTTTATAGAAATTAAAATATGAGTTTGGTTTTAGAATTATAAAACTTTAAATGCAAATAAATCTGATTTAAAAAAGATTACCCTTGCAGTTTTTTTGTTTTATGGCATTTGCTACATATAGAACATTAGGAAAAAAATTATATAATCATAATTTTCAGGCATCCCAAACATTTTTTGTATGGAGCATCAAAAAACTTACAAAAAGCATTACATTTTTTGAAAGTGTTTAATTTTTAAGTGTTTTACCCATCATTTTTGAGTTCCTCTCCCTAAAATAATGTCGTAAATAAAAATTCTTCATTAAACAGAAAGGTTGTATAAAGTGAAGATCTTTAATGTGAAATGCAAGCAAGTTTATATATTAGAACTGTATCTGAGATATTAAAATCTTTTTAAAAAAATGCAAAAAAAAAATGTATATAATTATTTTTTCATTATTAAATAACAATTTTTCTTAATTTTTTTTTATAAAACTTTCAATGCAAATAAGTCAGATTCAAATAAGAAAACCCCCCTGCAGTTTTTTTGTATCAATAAGTTACATATAAAACTATAGAAAAAGTTTTCATAATCATATCTTTTAGGCATCTTAAAATATATTTCTTTTTGTACGGGGTATAAGAAAACTTATAAAAACTATTACACCATTTTAAAATTGAATTTTCATAAAGAAGCTTTAATTTTTTAGTGTTTTAGGTTTCATTTTTAAGTTCTTTTGCTTAAAAAATAGTTAGGTTCAAATTTTCAACACCATTGAGCAAGTATTTCATAAGTTAAAGCTAATTGTGTTATTTAGTTAGCTTAAAAGATAAATGGCGCTGAAAAAAATAATCAAAAAAAGAGAATGGGACTGAGTATCAATATCTCTGAAACCGTAAGAAGTCAGACATTAAAATTTGTGGTGAAGTTTTATTTCATTAATATAAGCTTGTATACTGAAAATCATCAAAATCTAATATGGCATGGTGCCAAAATTTTTTTTTTGATTGATTTAACACGGCATGACCCAGTAATATGTGAAAGATATTCTATTAGATTTTATTTCTACTTTATTAGATATATTTGCTATATCAGCAGTGTGTTGACAAGTCTCTATTAAGTTCATTATATGGGTAGTCTATTATCTCTATTCTATGTGACAAGAGACCATAATAAAACTTTCTGATTAAGCGTGTTAAATTAATGTCAATGTTTAAATGTTAAAATTTAAGTAACATTTAAAAAGATGAAAATTTATTTTAATCTTTTTAAATGTTACTTAAATTTTAAATGTAAAAAAGAAGAAAAAAAAACTTAACCAAATAGAAAATAAAAAAAATACTTAACTAAAGCAAAAACACACACACAAAAAAAAACTCATCAAACTAAAATGCTTAGTCTATTTAATTTACACATTAAAAAACCATTTCATTCTTTGTTTTAACATTTGTACTTTATTTTCTTTTTTTTAATATATTTAAAGATAAACATTTATCATAAAAAATACATGATTAAACAAGTAAAAAAAAAAAAAAAACAGTTTTTTTTACTTTCATTAGAAGTGTTTTGTTACTTCATTGAAAAGCGTTTCGATAATATAAAAGCATTTAAGATCAAACTTATGTAATTGTAATAGCTTTCTAAAACATTTGTCTTTTTTTTTTTCAACAAAATTTTTTTATCTTTTCAAATTTATTAACTTTAATTATTCTTATATTAAAATTCGCTAAAAAGACTTTAGTTATCGTAAAATGTCATCATTTATAATAACAAAACAATTTTTTATTTTTAAAAACGTTTATTATAAAAAATGCACACTTAAACAATTTCTATATTATAAATTAAAAAAATATATACAACTGTCAATTATACTATTAAAAGAAACCATTATCAGTAAATTGTTAGTTTATTTAAAAGTGTTTCGCTAATATAAAAACATTTGTTCAAAGTTTTGACTTAATTTATTTCACTTTCTGATGTAATTTATTTCAGTGCATTTTTAAAATGTTTTTTGAAATAGCCACGGTCAAATCCTCAAAGCAAAATGTAAAAAACCTGGTCATATAAAGACGTGTGTTCGCACGTCTTCCTTTAAAAGACTATAAAAGTGCTGTTGTATAGCGTTTGTCAACTGCACTTTACCTAAATGCTATCAAAAATGAAGTAGCATTAAGAGAAATATGTAAAAGGCAAACTAATGTGTGGTGAATGATGCAAAACATAAGCTTGTCATACTTGTCAAAAAGTTTTAATTCATATGTTTTTTAATCGTTCTACTTGAAATTAAATTATAGTTTTAAATTCTAAATGTGTTACAACATGTTTTTAATTCATTTTATTATCCTGGGGCTGTATTCTCATCTCTCTGTTAAGCTTAATGGAGCAACTAACAAATAAATATTTTTAAGGCTCTTTGTTTTTTTTGGGTGCCCATACCACTCCATCCATACCAAAATAACTTAAATCATGATTTAAGTTATTTTGGTATGGATTAAGTCAAGTTCTCAAATCCTTGTTATTTGAGAACTTGACTTAATCATACATAGTGCATGACACTCCATTTGATAAGCTATGCAGTTGTCTCAGTCCCGTTAATTAACATAGAGTGGAGCAAAGGGCATTTTATGTGGACTCAACAATGCACATGATGGAATCAGCCTCTTTGAGAGCTACCACAGAACTCAGGAAACATTACCACCAACTGACCTCAAAACCATTAAACTGAGTTTTAGAGCTTTGTTAGAAGATGATAAGAAGATGCATAACCACTATCATGGAGGCACAAGCAAAATCCGAAGAGTAGAGTCAAGAAAATCCACCATTTATTATTCTAGTCAGGAAACAGTGTAACGCCAGGTTTATATCTTTGTCTGCATACTAGAAGGGGTAGAGTCCTTTACACCTACGTTGGTCTAGTAGAAAGAGTGCGAGACTGGTCAGCTGAATTTTTATTCTTACCCCTATCCTAAATTATTAATATGGATGTTACAATGGTATAATGGTGTAGAGTCATGTCATCTCAGTCATGTCCATATAGCATAAAAGCTATGTAAGACATATAGCCCTATATAGCATAATATTAAGACAAGCTATTAATAGCATAAAAGCTATATAAGACATATAGCTTTATATAAGACATTATATAGCTTTATATAGCATAATATTGAGACAAGCTATTAATAGCATAAAAGCTATATAAGTCATTATATAGCTTTATATAGCATAATATTAAGACAAGCTTTTAATAGCATAAAAGCTATATAAGACATTATATAGCCTTAAATAAGACATTATATAGCTTTATATAGCATAGTATTAAGACAAGCTAATAATAGCCTAAAAGAAAATATTTGTTTGAAGTTTATAAAAGCAAAGAGTCGGTAAGAAGTTTTTGCAAAGCATTTGAAATAATTTACTAAAATAGATGGACCCAAAATATTTAAAATTTTTGCCTCTAATAATGATTTTCTCACTTATTGCAGCATGTATAATTTTTTAGAGACTAAAGTTTTTCAGACTGTATTGAAATATTTTATGAATCAACAAAAAAATAACCAATAAATAATTACTCCTTGTATTTTTTTCAAAGTGGTATATCTCTTTTCTTTTTTTCTTTTTTTTAATTTTCTTTATATGATTTTTATTTAAATTTATAAATTTTTATTTGTTTATATTTCTATTGCTAAATCAAATTATAAATTGTCTAATCACATAAAAATATCTACCAATGGCACCCTTAAAAGTTACCTTAGATGGATTTTTTTTTAACATTTTCAGCAACCTTGAGGCTACTGAAAATGTTAAAATTTTTTATAAGTTAAAATTTTTGTTAAGTTTTTTAAAAGTTTTAAAAAGTTTTTAAAGTTTGTTAAAATTTTTGTTAAAAGTTAAAATTTTTGTTTTTAAGTTAAAATTTTTTTTTAAGTTAAAATTTTTGACAGTGTAAGATTGTTAATTTCTTTAAAATAAAATAAATTTTTAGTTATAAACATCTTCTGGCAATTTTGCCACTGAACAGTGGGCCAGAAATCACTTTTACTGGACAAAACTAATAACTCGTCATTTAAAAAAGATTTAAGAACTATTTTTGCACTGCTTACTAATTTGAGTATTGCGGTTTTAATGGTGATATTTTTAACTTTGGGTTGCTACAGATACCAAAACTGTTTAGCAACCACATATTTAATTACCTTAACAAATATAAAGTAGAAAAAGTAATAACTTTATTGGATTTCTCCCATAATTACCACCTTAAGTATTGTGATACTACAAATGTAGTGGTACTATGGATTTTTTATTTGGTTGATAGTGACGCCTAAAATGCCTGACACTTCATTTTACATAGTTACTAGCTTAAGTAACTTTTCTCCAAGCATCAATGTTATAACTAGAATGATATTAATGTGGCAGTCTGATTAAAAATTATTTTATGCATTTAAAAATTCAACACATTCCCAATTACTAATTTTAAGTATTTTTATGCCGTTTCAAGGCTCTATTTTATATTTTATGAAACTACTACATAATCCATATAAAAAGAAACCTGTATTAACCTTTTTGTGTATATAAAATATTAGAGTTAGCTAACTTCAGGTTTTCTTTTATTATATATGAATAAATATCAATACTTTTTATGTTTTAATTATATAAAAATATAAATTTTATTTACAAAATTTTACAAATAGGTATTTTAGAATGTATAATTAATAAATCAAGTTTGGAAAACTTGCTGATACCAAATTATTACTGTCTTGCTGATACCCAATTATTACATAACCATTTAGAATAAAATGCATATAATGTTTTCGCCACATAAAATCGGATACATCATTTACCCGGTGGGAGATGAGCTAGCAACTAGCTAGTCGCTACTTATAAATAAAAGACGCGTTAAAGACAAATAAAATTCGTAGTAATTTCTGTTTTAGACGTTTTAAAAACATCTTGCGTCAGTTAGCTTTTTTTTTTTTTCACCAGTTAACTTTCAAAAATCATTAATAGAGACCAGGTAGACATCCGCGGATTATAAAACAAACTTATATTGATAATACACATATTGAACAATGTATTTCAAGTTTCAAATTACTGGACCACTTTAGACCGCAAAAGTATTCGACTATATAAGTAAAATTTTAACTAAAAAAGTACTTCGAATACCCCGTCATTTGAAATCATTTTATTTGACATAAATTACATGCAAAATAGTGTTGTAATAGCTCATTTGAAAAATAATATTTAATTCTATTAAATTATGCAATAAAAAGATAAGTTTTAAAGTTAACATCTATTCATGCTTATTAGTAACATAAAATACTATCAAATTATAAAAAAATTTTGAAAATTTTTAAAAAAAAAAAAAAAAAAAGCTTTTTATGATAAATTTACTAAAATATATACATTTTAAAAAAGTTGAATGTTTAAGCTATAAAATGGTATATAATAATGTAATTTTTGATAATGTATTTTTTTTTTTACTTTTGTCCATCACCTGGCCCACTGTGCACTGAAGTGGTTTTATTTGCTGATTATAAAAATATATATTTGCCCCTCAAGAGTAAAAAATTTTAATTGGGATTTAAAAATGATGGATTCAAAAATTTCTAATGGAATTTAAAAGTTCCTAAACATTTTAGGAACTCCAAAACTCCTTAGGTCAGATAAAAATAATATATATTTGACTTTAAACCCAACAGATTTTTTTGGAAGCATCTCTAGTTATAGCAGAGCATATCTTGTTATACTTCAAAATTCAAAATTAAATAGATAGCATACTAAAAAATGTAATAGATTTAATAATAAATATCATTTATTTATATTTGGTATTTATTGCTCTGGACATTTTCTTTGAGATTATACAGTGTTTTATTTTTGTCTAACTTTATCATTGAGTAAATGATGTACTCATATATCTTCTTCTAGATTTAGTCTCTTCTAGTTGCTCTCATTAAATTTATTTGATTCTGTTACAATAACAATTTATTTGATTCAGTTGTAATAACAACTTATTTGATTCAGTAACAATAACAATAAAACAGTTGTTTTGTTAGTAAAAAGTAAAAAAATTTTATGAACTTTAAAGTAGCTATTATGTGTGATTGAATAAGAAACTGTATCTGGTATATAAAAATTAAAAACAAAAATTTATGTCAGTGTTCATGTTTCAGATGATGATGTTGTACAAGATTTTTTATGGATGGACAAATGTTATACCCTTTCTGATAAGGTAATTATTGTTTTCAGATTTTTTAGTATAAAAAATAATTTTAAAAACTATTTTGAATGATTAATAGTTTTAGTTATCAACTCATCAGAAGAGTTGCTATGTGATTGTTACTTTTATAATATTGAATGATCATTTGATGTTGCAAATGAATGTTTATAATGTTTATAATATGACCTATGTAAACATAAATATACTTATAAACATAACATTATGGACCATTTCAGATTTTGTTAAAACATTTTGATTTTGTGAATATAAGAAAAGCATATTAAAAATTTCATATAAATATCTAGGATCAATAAATTATATTTTATTTTATGATACGGTTCTTGTGAAAACACTATTTAAGTAGTGTATATTTTGCATAAAATTTCACTATTTAAGCAAAATGATTTTTAACAGCTAATATCTTTTGAACAAATCGGTTTTATACTGCAATTATTTTAAGATAGCAAGTATGTTATTGGTGCTTTTAGAAATACAAAATTTTTTGTGATTTTAAAGAGATTAATCTTAAAAGCTAGAGAAAAAATTTGTAAAAATTAAAGAAAGTCGATCTACAAATGGTGGATAAACATTTTTAAAAAGTTCTGTTGATTAGAGAACTGCATTCAAAAATTTAAAGTCACAAATGTGAGCTGGATCAAGATTTTTTTCAAAATTGATCCGTGATGCAAAGCATCTATAACCTAAAATGTTACCTTTTTTTGCCACAAGATTTTTTATATGCATTAACTAAAGAATGTTTTATAATTAAAATAAATAAATAAATGGGTACTTATTTAGAATTTCAATAGGTAGTCTCTATTAGTCAAGTAAATTTTCCATAAAAACTTCTTTTTTTTTTTGTTTAAAAAAAAATTATTTTTTGTTGAATTCTCAGATACTGATATGTTAATCTAAAATTTACTAATGGAACCAAATAAATTGCTATTGTTTTAGGACCTAATAATGATAAGTAGTAAAAAAGAGTCTGAGCTCTCTACTTGTTGTATTGGTAAACCTTTAAGTGATCAGTTCTATCTTAAATTTAGCATATCTAAAAAAAGTTAAATTTTAAAGACATTTTATACTAAACCAAGAGCTTCTTTGAAAAGCATATATTGTTTACAAACGAAATTCTTTTTTTTTTTAATGTAGCAGACTACTTTAAAACGATGGAGAATTAGCAAGTTGTTACAAGTCCCATAGAATTTTTTTTTAATTATCAAGAGAAAGAGTACTTGTTTAGGTACAAGAACGAATATTAAAGGTATTGTTGTAATCTTTTGAACAAGCATGCAAACAAAGAGAAAAGTAAGTTTTAAGTTTTTTTCTGTGGGTGGTGCTTCTGGTTCGCATGCAGTTTATTTTTGTCAGTAACATCAAAATGGAAAGATTCTTCTTCTATAAAACTCTAGGAATAGCCGATTACAAAAGTTTATTGAAATTCATGGTAGCATTTTTAATGCTACTGTGAGATTGTATGCAACGTAGTTGTGATACTTTTCTGGGAAGAGGTTTTAGTCTAATTACATTAAAAAAAAATTTTTATTGAAAATGAAAATAGTGAGGTTATTTTTAATCAATGTTAAATTAATTTTCCAATGTACTTTAACCCCAGCAACTTTAGCTTTAGATGAATTTTTTAAAATGGTTTGTAAACAACAAGACAATTTACAAGAGCATCACTTCTGCTACAGCATATGGCTCTCAGTAGCTTGTAAACTATAACTCAGATAAAGCTCAATTTTTTTATTGCAAAAATCTAGATTTTCCTATATTTATGGATCGTAATGTACTCAATGAGTCATCTACCCTTTGTCTTCTAGCTCTCTAACTCTCACTTCTAATCTTTCTTGCAAACCAAATATCAAATCCATTGCAAAATTAGCATATGCTAAAGTTGCATCTCTTTATTGTGTTTGCCAATTTTTACTCTAGGTTCTATTCTTTATCTTTATAAATCTTAAATCTGTCCTTGTATGGAATACTGTTGCCATATCTAGAGCGAATCTTTGAATGATGCTATTTCTCTTTTAGATAAAGTGCAGCCAACCTAAAACCATTATCACATCATCTTAATGTTGCTTCTCTTTTTCTTTGTAATATATACATTAATAGTCTCTTGTGCCATCTACATAAATTCATTCTCGTTTTACTCGTTATTCAATTAAGTCCCATCCTTTTACTGTGAATTTTCCTAAGTGCTCTAAAAATTCTTATTTATCTAGTTTTTCCCCTCAAACATCAGTTCTTTGCTCCCTTAATCTTGTTTTCCTGATTTACATAATTTGCAATCTTTTAAGTCATCTGTTAATTGTTATCTTGCTCATCTTTTCTCCTCAAGTAACTTCTATATATAACTCTAATAGCTTGCTTGAAGCCTTGTTGGAAGTGAAAATGTTTAAAAAATCTTAAAAAGTCAAGCCAACTACTTTTAACATTTAAAAACTGTTTTAAAAGAAAAACAAGCTTTAGTTCTTCCTGACTTTGCAGAAAAGCTATTAAAAATGATTAAAAAAACTACCGTTTGGCTTAAAGAATACAATTTTAGTTAAGTAATTGTCTATTTTTTGCTTTTCTTTCATATATGCACAAAGCAATTTTTATCAATTTTCAACCTATAGACTAATGAAGCTAAGTTTATAGTATAGAGAAATGACAAATTCACGATCATTGTATTTACTTCTCCCAGTAGCTGCTGCAAGACCAATTGGTACTTTTGCTTTGTCATCTTGGCTCATTAAAGTAACTTCTGCTGGTCCAGAATAAAGCCAATTCCTTTAAATTCTGAAACTAAGTAAAACCAAATTTGTATCAGGATGATTTTTATGAAGATCTTTGCCTGATTTTGTGGATGAATTGTGCCTGTCTTAATAAGTTTTACAGAAACAGTTGATGGAACATTCTTCTTGCTGTCTATTATGTAAGAATTTTTTAATGCAAGATGATAATAGACTGTTGATTTGCCAACTGGGAAGACTTCTTTTTGTCAATTCATCAAATCTTTTGTCAATTCATCAAAAGGTTTAGCTGTTCATAAAGTCTTACCTCTTTGTTTTTCAGCTGCAGCAGTACCGTGAGTGGCAATCTGAATAATTATTGTTAGTAATTCCACTTTCAATAATAAAAAGATGTTAAGCCTTTTGATGAATTCTTAGTTTACCTTTTTAAAGTCTCAGCCAATGCTTCTTCTTTTTTTTTTTTTTTTTTTTTTTTTTACTTTTTTTGTCATTTACAAATTTTCTCAGAAAAGGTGTGTAGTTACACATCTCATATGACCACACATATATTACCAACTTGGCCACGGCTCTTTGCAAGGTTGGAAAATTAGTGCGTTAAAAAAATGCTCTGAATAAATAAATGTAAAATTAAACTAAAATTAAATATAAGCAAACCATAAACTAAAAAATAAAAATACAAAACTAAAAAAATAAAAATCTTAGCAAATTATAAAATAAATAGAAGATAATCCAGAAAAATAAAAGCATAGAATTTTATTTTCATTTAAGTGTTTAAATTTATGGAATTTAAGCTTAATTATTTAAAAATTTGAAACTTTGATATTTTAAGTCTAAGCAAACAAAACATTTGAAAAAAAAAATCTGTTAAAAGGAATTAAACCTTGATCCAACGCCCTACCAATTTTGTTAATTTTATCTTTTAATTGTTTTGTTATTTGCTAAGATTTTGTTTGTCTTTTCAGTTTATCTTTTAATTGTTTTGTTATTTGCTAAGATTTTGTTTGTCTTTTCAGTTTATGGTTTGTTTATTTTTAATTTTTTCTTCAGTTAATTTTTTTCAGCACATTTTTTAAACTTGCAAATTATCAAAACATGCAAAGTAGCGTGTCCAAGTTATAAAAAGGAAATATTGTGTGCGTGGTCAGAAAAGGCATGCAACTGCACATCTTTCCTGAAAAAGCTTGCATTTACAAATGGATGGTTTCCCAGACAAGTAGACTAACCCTCTCAGGCAAAGTTGTTGGGAAGTTTATTTATTTTAGTATATATTTATTTGAGGTTAACTTTTTTCCAAAATTAAACACAATATGTACCACAATGAAAGATTTGGATAGAGATATAATAAAGTATTATTGTTAAATCCAGTAATTTGTAATAAAATAAAATGTGGTTCAGGTCATTAGTTTATGTTTTTTAATAAGCTGAACAAATGGACTATAAAAAAATGAATTCTATTATTATTTTAAAATTACAAAAGTTAATCCATACAAGAAATGGCTTTAAAATTGTATTGTTACAACACCATTCAAATAAAAGCATTATTAAATTTTTCTAAAGAGATAAAAGTACCTCTAGACTAATCTATTATATATTATTGCCAAACTTAATAGTGTTAGTAGTAGTAGTGCACTTTTGAGCCTGTTTGACACTGTACCCTTGGCAGCCATTGCAAGCAAGGTAATGGCAAGAAAGAGTCGCAGCACTTTGTTTTATAAGAAAATGTGAACAAACGCTTATCCAAATATCTAATGTATGTAAACTTTAAATCAAGTAATGTTAAAACATACTGAAACATTTTACAGTTTGATTTTCACTTGAAAATTGCATTGGGTCAAACTCTCCTTAATTTTGATCTATAACATTTTTTCATTAAAAAAATCATTATATTGTTTTAAAAATATTGGTTTGAGTATGTGCCAGTGTGGCTGAGTGGATAAGGCGCTGAGCTTCTGAACAAGTAAGCTGAGGTTCTATTCCTACCAATGGCAGCTTTTTTTTTTTTTTAATTTTTTTCAATTATTTTAAAATACAAAATAGTTTTAAAGTTTCATAAAGATTGTTGTAATGATTGTTACGCAAAACAATTCATAATAGCAGTTAACGATTGCAAAACAAGCAATTCCCATTTGCGAATTGCACAAAAACTTATAACGAAAGTATTCCCTTAAGAGAATTCCGCACGAGGAAATTCTCGCTTAAAAGCAAGTGCGCTGAATTAAATTTTAGTAGTTGAAGTTTTGACGTGAAACTATACAGAGTTTTATATTTAAACTA